GGCAAAAAAAAAAAAAAACTAATCCAAAAAGTTCAACATGTTGACAATCAAATAACTTGATATGTCTGAAAATAGTGAATTCGACCAAAAATGACTAAATACACGTGTAAACCGAATTAAGTGGCATCCAACACTCCAACACAGGGCATTAAAGACCTATTCAATTTAAGAATCAATTTTGGTTTTGTATAACTAAGGACAGAAAATCAACATCCAAAGTTCAATGTGAAGACAACCACAATTGCGTGCGCGCGCACACACACACACACATACCTTAAAAAAGTGAAAACCACCAAAATGGTTGAGTATGCACATCAGGTAGAGTGGAACCTCTACACATGTTACCTTTGAGAATCAAGTTTAATGTCATGCAACTAAAAGACCAGGAGAATGATCAAAGCAAGAGAACCATGCACCAGCATCCTAAGAATCCAGGGGGAAAATATCTAACTTGGCAACTAATGCAATATTTATTTGGTACTTATCATCAACATAATTTATTCATTAAACATGTAAAGGACAGAGATATAAACAATTCCTTTTAAAAGAAAATATACTCCTTTGGCAAAAAATGAAAAGGAAGAAACTGATTGCTTTTGAAAACAATGCATAACAGGAATGGATATGAATCCTCCATAATTAAAACCATTTCCAGTACAAACAATTTCTCTTAAAAGAAAGCATAATCATCATCTATCATATTACAACTCTTTTATTTAGAAAAAAAAATACAACGCCCGCATTTAGTGCAACAAAAAATACACATCTTATGGAAAAAAAAAGGTCCACATTGATGAAAAGAATTCGGTTTATCACCCAGACAAAACCCAAACTTCATGAGGATCTTAGAAAACAAAATACCACCAATACTTATAGATGATCATACATTAAATCATTTTCACTATCACCAACACAACACCAAATCTTATCATCATTTAGATAATCCACATACCAACAAAAACCAAAATGAAAAAAAGGATTAAAACAAAAATTCATCATCATCTACTCACGAAAACAATATACTGAAACAAAAAACAAAGTCCTGACCTCTAAAGCAGGCTCAGGTTCTTTATGAGTGTCCCAAGCAGAATCAGGAGGCGCCATGGTGGCATAATAATCATCATCATCTTCGTCATCAACGTCAGCCCAAGACTTCGTCTTGAGAGGTGATGGCGCCCAGAACACCTCTTTCTTCTCCGCTTCCTTCTCCGCTCCCTTTTTCCCTTTGGTCTTAGAAGAGGAGCCTTGATGTTCCTTTTCACTTCCTCCCTTCTTCTTCTTCTTCTTCAAACTCCCAAGCGCCGCAAAAACATTGGTGCTGTTAATCACCAAAGACTCGTCCCTCCTGCTATTCCCTCCTCCCACCATCTTTCTCCCTTATCCAATCCTCACCCCGTTGCCAAACACGCCCAACCTTTGAATTATAAATACAACAGTAGTTCGTCAAATAAACGGATATTAAGCGATGGAAAATTCCTCGGTTGCAGAAAAATTTGTCCTCGATTTTCAAAAAAAAAAAACGGAAAATTTGAGATTCTTATTGAAATATTTGTGGAGAAACTGATAAAAAGGTTAGATTTTCCTTTTTGCTGGTTTTCCCAGATGATCTGCGAAATGCCTGAATGGATTGTGATGAACCAAAACGTTAACGTTTTGGCTCTGCAAATAGGAAAAAGGAATCAAAAAGAAGAAGATAAGGCAAGGTGAAGCACGGTCTTCTTCAAATCTAGGTTAAGTGTTTTCAAGTTCTCAATATAAATAGAAGAAGCATTGAGAAATGAGGAAAGAAACCCTTCTCCACTTCTCTTCAAGCAGAGGTGTGTAATGGGCCGCGGCCCACTGAAGTGCTGGACTGAGCCTTTTGATTACCAAATGTGAACATTTATAACCATACTCTTTACCGACCATTAATAAATATATTTATTAAATATATAAAATTAAAAATATAAATCCTGCATGATAGAAAATAAAAGGTTTGAATATAAAATAAAATCAAATATTGATCAATACTGTCGGGATATATAAGAATTTTTACTTAAAATTTGGTTTAGATTTCAATTGTTTGACAGCAAATGCTAATGTATTGACAGAGAAATTACTTTCAAATGAATAAATGTTAAGCTAAGTTATAGCGAATATGAATAAATGGATCCAAATCAATTAAATTCGATTTGTTTATTTTAATTTTAATGGATTATGTAATTTAGTTTATTTGATTATTTAGATTTATTTTTTATATTTAAAATTTAGAATCGAATTATCAAAAAAGTAATTGTTAAAAATGCCTTTTTAAATATATTATATATGTAATATATAAAATATAAATATTAATAAACATTATTATTATTTTTAACTAATATTTTATGTATAATAAAAAAATAAACAAAATAATAAAATGGATCAAATTATTTAATTTTAAAATATAATTTGATCGATTTAATTATTTTTTTTATAAAATCTTTATAAATTGAATTTTTAAAATTTTAAGATTTAAACGATCAAATTGATCAAACAAATTCGGGTGCTGGTTGGGACCTAAGGCTTTGAAAATGTTTAACCTTCCAAGTTGTTAGGCTTGTTTTAGCTCAACAAATTAAGACAAACACCAACGAAATGAATTCTGATATTACCAAAATGATGCTACCTGCATTTGTTACATGAGGATCATCTTTATCCGGGAAGCGGATAAAGTAAAAACAAATAAACATCCTTGTTTGAGTAAGTTTGAACAAGCACAAAAGGTAGATCAATGATCAAGACGAAGATGCATGGAATTGTCAAAAGTGGTTCCCACATGCTGAATGACAAAGCCATAGATTTTCCTCTTCAATTTCTCGACCTTGTCTACCAATGGCTCATCCCCGTTTGAAACCGCACGGTCTAGCCAATCATTGACCCGTTTCAACTGCGATAGAACTGCTGCTATGGAGCCACAGTCCAAAGGCAATGTTTTACTACCAGAACCACACTCTCCCAGCACCCGGAAACCGGCATCCAGGGACGACTCAATGAAATGAAGAAACCACATTTGCATCTCAGACTTCAACTCCATTGCAAAATGCACTGTCTCTTTCATTCCCTGACCTCTAGTCCACATTGCAGCATTAGGTTCTGAATGTGGCAATGAAGTAGCTTTGAGTTGGTTTTTGGCTGAAGCATGATGAGATTGCCGCCCTTTTGACAAACTTCTCTGCAGAGCTGATGGAGACTCATTGCTCTGAGGGGTTAGAAGGGAGACTATCTCAAGATCAGTAGCCAGTGCAGCCTCAACCCACAGTGAAGAGGATTTTGAGTGCTCCGAGAAGGCATTTTCTGTGTCGGAATTGTGGCTAGCTGCAATGGACTCGGCAATCCCAGTGTGCTTCACAACATCATCATAAATTGATAAAAATTGGTCAATGGTGGGTATAGGATTCCCAGCTTTGGATTTAGAGGAGAGTTCCGAAAACATGCTGGAAAATATAGGAGCATAAAATTAGGCACAGAAAAACTTTGTTGACAAAATATGATGTTTGGGCTGCTTAACGCATAATTAATTGATTTTCACAAAACAAAATGCATAAATAATTT